TTAGTTAAGAACATGGAAGTCTATCTCCTACATCTTTGGCAGGTTCGAAAATTCGGCATCCTAGACAGCCATTGCTCGATCTGAGGGTGAAGGGTGTGGGGGTCCCCTCAAGCGGCTCCAGCGGCTCGGAAGGTCGTTTGGTTCAAGGAGTGCGGCTGTACAGGAATGGAAATCGAGGCCTGCTTGCGATTCTAGGAGCTGAAGATATTGAGGGCTCGACTTGTCCACATCCTATGCCCAAGAAGCTCATTATGTATCCGGCCAGTTACTACTACCATGGTTTTGATTGGATGTTGACGGGGTAGGGTCCTCCAAGCCAAGGCCGGGTGTTCCCAAAGTCTCAACATGCCCTCACTGTGCCTCAAACGCGCGCAGGGAAAGAAACTGAGTTCAACAGGTCTCGAACATGCCCAAGATCCGCTCTCCGGCGTTGTCTAAACTCTCCTTAGCTTTCGGGTTAAGATCAACTCCACAGGCTCAAGGCGCTCCGAAACTCACTGCCAGAATCACGCAGCTGTTAGCCTCAGTCAGAACGTTGGAAAGTCTACTACAATCGAGAACCCCGACCCCACATCGGTGCATCCGAAGACTAGAGTCTAGAGCCCACTACTTCGACGATGACAACTACCACCACCATGCCGCCTACTACAATGACGGCGATTACAATCACGATCCCTCGCACCACTTCCACGATGACGAGGTCTGCTACTCCGGGGGCGACTGCTACCACCCCCCCCCTTTCTCTTTTGCGATGACCACGACGGCGGCTACGACGACGACTGCTACCACCACCCCTGCTGCTGCTGCTACTGCTGCTGCCACGACGACACTTACTACCACGACCTCTATTACTGCAGTGACGAAACAGCTATTGCGAGGGCGACTAGGACGATAATGAATATCACCACCACCCCTCCTTCCAATACGATGACACCGACAACGACAGCAAGGCCAACTGATACGACCGGCAAGCAGAACCTGGCCGTTTGCCCAGGCGGTGAACTTCCTGCGGGGCCTGATTGCCAGGCTCATATGCGGGAGTTTCTCCAAGAGCTTGTTTGTAACATCCAAGATGATAAGAGTGGGGTAAGCACATTATCACCAGAAGGTGGGATGGGGCGATTTCGGCCTTAGCCGTCAGAACCAACCTAGGATTGAGAGCCGATGAAGACTTTAAGATCCTGGCGGTCTTGTCACCTATCCACTGTCTGCGCTCTTGAGGATGAGTTTGCGATGTTTGGTTCCCACGGTCCACTTGCCTTAGGAGTTTACTTGCTAAGGTGACACGGTACAGCTCAGGCTCTCCAACAAGGATGCAGTTTACATATATGTCAAACAAAGGTGAAAGCTACGACAGCACCGTAACGACAGCCGCACGTGCGAAATTGAAGAGCGACTTCGAAAGCGCCGCCGGGACGACGACGACAACGGCGACGACAACATACCGGCCCTTACTTGTGCCCGGCAGCGGGGTGTAGGATTTAGGTTTTGCGGCAGCTGAAGGATGAGGGCAATGTGCGCTGCAACCCCTGCTCAAAAAGGGCTTGGTTCCTGCATCGGAAAGTATAGTCTCGACATGTTGCTACGACGCATGCAGCCGGCAGCGATCTGTGTTTTGCCGAAGGCTTTGTTCTCCTCTAGGATTTGCGACATGTCGTGTCTGCGACTAGGAATCCGATGCACATGTTGACAACAAGACGCATGATAGGATATTCACATGTATTCACGGCTTTTGCTTGTTGCATACAGGGTCAGCTTGCGACCCCCTTCCTCCGAAAAGGCACAGGGCACCACATCATCCAGCAAAATTCCGACACATGCACGACGCGCATGAGACGTTATCATGCTAAAGCGAATGCACACATACCGACGTCGGTATCATGGTCGGGCATGGTGCTCCAACCAACGGATGCACTCGATGCGGCCATTATCATGGTTGAGCTCTGGCCAAAGGATACAATAGTGACATCGGCGTTATCTTGGTTTGGGCATGTGTATTCTCGCCCATGATGTGTAATTCTCTAGAACACCGTCCACACTCGGTGATGTGTGTTCTCGCCACACCATTGTCTGACATATGCGTTTACAGTCGAGCTGTCAGATTCTGATCATCATCACCATCACCAATCATCATCAGCATCATCTTCTTCTTGCCTTTTGTTGTTTCGAAGCCGTGATGCAGGACGTGATTCGTTTGAATAGCCTGACAAGTCCAGTAAACCTGCGGTTCTTGAACTCAGTTCCGAGAAAAGTCAGGACCCGCGTTGCTGAGTCGAAGTAACAGAGACAGAGACAGAGACAGAGACAGAGAGAGAGAGAGAGAGAGAGAGAGGGAGAGAGAGAGAGCGAGAGATGGCAGTGCATCCCGGGAAAGTCAGGCTTCAGGGCTGGTTTTTGAGGCAGGCAGGTAGGCCAGAGGCAGTGTCGTGCAAGGTTCGGTTTGGTTCAGGATGAAGGCGTAGGGTTAAAGGTGCAGAGCGGGTGAGAACCCCAGTGGTGTCACGCCGGCCAAATCGCAAGACGCTGGACCAACTGAGCCCCTGGGGTGGGGGGCGAGTGCCCTAGCTCGGAAGCAAGCAAGAGAGAGACTGACAGCGAGTGTATGAGACGGAGAGAGAGCGAGAGAGAGAGAGAGAGAGACCCTGCAGTTACTTTTGGTTTCTCACTCCCCTGGTAACACGCGGTTGGGCCTGCGGCCCGGGGGACCTGACAAGTCCCTTATGCCCGGGAAGAGAGAGAGAGAGAGAGAGAGAGAAATCATACTGTCGTGTTGTATCTGACTAGTGTACTTGTGCCCTGAGAATTCTCTTTCCGCTCACGGAGATATCATACTCAACTTGCCCTCAAAGCCCCATAACACATGGGGGGCCACAAGGCCAGGGGACTTAACTCGTCCCCTACGCCCAATGAAAGAAAGAGGGACAAAGAAAGCCCCATAACATATGGGGGACAAATAGGCCGGGGGACCTCGACAGTCCCTTAAGGAAGAAGAGAGAGAGAGAGAGAGAGAGAGAGTGAGCGGGAGCTGTGTGGAAGAAGGGCGGGGGAGAGACAGAGAAAAACAACAAAGAACAACCTTTTCACTTATCCTTTTGTCATAAAGGCCTCGCTTTTTTCTGGGCATTCTTGGGTTCTGAAGAGGAGAAGGGACAGAGGGAACGGGAAGAGAGTCAGGTCGGTTATGGGGCGGAGAGACCGCCTCCTTTCCACGCCCTTCGTGCACAAAATAAAGTGGGCAATAAGAGAGCCTTTCGAAGGTCCCCTGTCTCTCCCTTTCTCTCTCAGGTTCGTCTGCCTCTCGTGCTGCGCTCTGCTACGCTTGTTCCCTGACTCTCGATCTCTTCTTTACCTCGTTTCGCCCCTTTTCCTTCGTTCCTTCTCCTCGCTCGCTGACAGAAGATCCGTCATGAAGCAGGGAAGCGGGTAGACGATAGGGTAGGGTGGGACGCGGGCCTGTCAGCTGCTGCACTTTGACCTTGTGAATTTCAACTACCAAGTCACCAACTCTTTCTGATAACAGAGAACTGCGATTGCCAGCCATCAAATCCTTTGCAACAGTGCGGGCTTTCCAATTCTCCAAGGGTTACAAGTAAGAAGATAAAAAGAGCAAAGCAACACAGGACAATAATCTCGTTCTCAATCTTTCTATTGCTCTTCTTGTCTTCCGTGCGTCTCATCCATCTCTCCCCGCATCTCTCGTGTTTCTTCTCTCTCCGATGCTTCACTTCTCTTTGTTTATCACCCTCCCCGGCACCTTCCTTTCCTTCATCTCCTGTTTCCTCCTACATTTGACGGACAAAGCGTTGTAACCAAAAGCGTTCAAACGGGAAACACGGGGACCGCCTCGCTCTGCTTGCGTACGTCCTGGCAGCTGCTTCACACTTATAGCTCCAACGCTCAACTTCTAGGCTTGTATGATCCGAAGCAACAGAACAAGAAACTCAAGTTGGCTAGAAGATCTTTCCTCGAGGGTGTGTCGCAAAACAAGCATCGCAGGTGCTTTGCTTCTGAGCTGTTTGAGCGACGGTCCCTTGATTGGCAGTCGCCGTATCTCTGAACAACGTTATACCCTACGAACATTGTACAAGGAACAGTGCTTGATCAACAAGATATCAGAAGCAAGGTTCACAGTAGCAACAGCAAGCAAACGAAGGAAAGCAAAACAACGAAGGAAGCAAGACCAACAACAACGAAGGATAGGAAGAGCAAGAACGCCAAAGGCAAAGCAGTATCAAGCCCCATGCGGCAAGTACGGGCATATCGCCGCGGATTGTTGGTGGAAGATAGGCGGTGTCGAGGGAGGATCTGTTGTTTAGCAATTTGCTGCCGAACCGGTGCCTGATGAGTCTCGACGAGCATGTTGCTCTACAGCGTCTGTTGGATCTGCCGTAAGCCGTAAGTGCAGTGTCAGAGGCCCTAAGCGCCCCGAGTGTGGAGTGCCAAACTATGAAGCCCAAAGGACTGAAACAGCTTCACGCTTGTAGTCTCTGTGCCAGCGGGTGAAGCATGAGGGACCCTCTACCTGGCACGTTGAGAGTGCGAACAACGCTCACACGCTACCTAGCTCACTACCGTGCCATGTAGAGAGTGTGCAGCCAGGGCACAGATGAGCCCAATGCGCTACCGAGGAGCTTTGGAGCCCGAGTAAAACAAGACTAAGTTTTTGTTGGCAGTATCGGTTATAGGCACACTCCCGCCATCATTCCGGCGTTCACCGCCAACCTGTTACCTGAACCCGCAACCTTTCATCTCAACACTTTCCCACAATCCTTGCAACCCGCTCCAACCTCAATCAGCAGTTCTGTTGAAGCCTCTCGTCCTATGCCTGCAAACCAACTAGACACCTTCAACCTAGATGTAAACTGACACCTACAGGTCGGCCTCGCCGTGGCTGGCACCCTGGCCGAGCCCTAAGATGAGTCTTCGAGTTTTGACTGCGAGATATTGTGAGGGTCTGCTTTCGTCAGATCGGCAGCAAGGTGGGCACAGTCGGCAAACAGATGATTCGCCGCGCGGAAATGTACAAACAGGTTCGGCTCGATACCACCGCCAGGCTTGTGCTTGTCAGTGCGTCATTTCGATGGTCAGGACAAGCAAGACCGTGCCAGCCCCTGGCGACATCTTGCGGAGAGTCGTGCAAGCCAGAGCCTCTCGGATTCCGAGGCGAAAGCGCCATCTTGTTCTATGTGGGCTGGGGCCCCAGAACTGAGTGGCTTCCGCTGCCGAGACGGAAGCGGCACTGCCAGGTCTTATGCTGCAGGTGGCCTTGAACCCACTCTGTGACATGGCCGGCTATGCTTTGGTGCCTTTGCAGCAGAGGGTTTCAGGGAACCGGAAGTGGTGTGGAAACCCAGTCCAGCGAGAGGCGCCGGCCACGGTGATTGCGCCGGTGACGGGAATGGACATCGCAACTTTGCTTGCAAGAGCACTCGGGCTTGTGTAGGCAGCTATGTTTTACTCAGGATCATCACATACGGCCAATCCTTCTTTTGCTCTTCTATCGCTTTCATCCGCAGTTCGCTAGAACTCGGGCAGAGCCTACTGCCCGGCTTGGCTCCAGTCATCACACCTTGACCAAATTACTCAGGTCTGGAACACGGTGATCGCTCCGTGCCTCAGACATGAAGAGTCTCTGCAGGTTATGATGGTTATGATTGCGTCGCGCTGGGATGGCAAGGACCATGATCAAGGCTCTGCTTCCCTGCTCGTGCAGGTGCTCTTTGGGTGAGAAGCTGACCTCGCGGAGGTCGGAAGAATGTGTTGAAATGGGTTGAATGGGCCAGAACGTGAGAATGTCATGAGAAGAGGACTGACTTTAGCGATTCCGGGCATCGAGAGTCTGGGTGGATCGAACTCTTGCGTTTGTCATGGAGGCTGCTCAGCACCTGCATGATCTTCTTCGCGGCAACCGCTTCGGAGTCTTGCCTTAAATCTAAGCTTTCAGGTTCTCAGGGAATCACGATGATCTGAGGTGCTTTTCAGGCCGATCAAGCAGGCCGGGGAACATGCTGCCAACGGGCGGCGTGAATCAATCCGAAGCCAGGTCGAGTGGACGACCGAGTATGTGGAGACAGTGTTGCTGCAGAACCGCACCCTCTTCTATGGCCTTTGCTTTTTGGCTTGGTGGGGGCCTCGGGCAGCGGGACCTTCCTGTCGGAGCTGCAGGAGGTCTCATTCCTGCCTTCTGGTGTGAGGTTTTTGTGGAACGTGACAGCCCGGATCTTGGAGCAAATGCAGAAGAATATGTGATCATATATACAGGCCTATGGGCTTCCTGCGCCGAGATCCAAACGCGCTACGAACGGGGGTCTCCAATCCGGGGCTTCTCGCTCGGAGCGACCGCAGGCTCCCTCGCTGGCCGCTTGGCCGACAATAGGTACATCGCGATTCCCCAAACCATCTCCACGCTTGGCGTAATTACTCGTGCAACGGGTTTTTTTATTAATATTAAGAATATTTTTCATATTATTCGTATTAGTACTATCATTATTGTCATTCTTGTTATTGTTGTTATTGCACTGCAGCGCTGGGCCTCGGAGCTGTTGCGAGGTAACATGTGGTGCACGAAGATCACAGCAACACTTGCAGGCCAGAAGTCAAGCAGTCAAGCGCCGTGTGATTGGCCCCCTGTGTCGACCATTGGGCAGGGCAATGCGTCGAAGGGAACTGCCACAGCCTGAGAAATTGACAGTGAAATTTGTTTCCTGCCCAAACCGAAGAAGCACAAGAAGGATGCCTCACTTTTCCAGGCGATGCCTGGGACCATTGGGTCTCCTGGGCGTGTCTCGCTGGAGCCATTTTCTTTTCTACCAGACGCTTGGCCAGTCAAAGGAGGCTTTGCAGTGGTCAGGCTGTTCTCGTTTTTAGCATTACCAACCCGAGGCAACCTCTATTACATCTCAAGAGGCATGCAGCAGCACGAGGCTTTGTTCATGGTGACGGAAGCCCGTCTTGCACTTCAGAGTGTGAACGAGCTTTTTTTCCCTGATTAGCTGGTTCCAGAAAGCCAGCTTTGAGGTGTACATGGGCTCGAACATCGCCACCAACAGCGTCTACGCCGCAATGTGGTGATTTCCATGTACCCGAAATGCAGCGAGTCTGGAGCAGGCTTGAGCGCCATCCTGGTGCTATCAGAGATGGACAACGCTCCGTGGTGGAAGTTCGCCGGTTATATCGCCTGCATTCTCTTCATGATGGTGGGCCTTGCAAGCGCTGCTCTGTCTGGGGGCTTGGGACGCGGTATCTTGCTTGGGCACGTTGCTAGGTGGGCATGGTTTTGCTCACCTCCGGCGAGAAGGCATAGACAAGCCGACAGAAGACTCCGCAGCCCGGCCCTGTGCCCGAAACGCGGAGGACCCTGAGGCACGCGAATTGGAGTGCTCGCCCTGCGTGGAGCTGGCCGAGGCCGCCTTACCTTAGCTGCCTTAGCCGTTACATCTCGTTACATCTTACAAGCCGATTCCAAACTTCGTTGGCTCCCGGTCCTGGCCATGTCAGTCGCTGTGACCTAGGCTTCGATGCAGGGCCACAGCACTAGCGTGCAACTGAGGCCCACACCCAGGCACGACTGCACATCTTCCGTGCTCCGAGACATTCGGCGTGCTGCTCAGGAGCGCCGATGGCATCTGAGCCTGTTCGCTTCTCATTGCTACTGGCTCGGTTCACCAACCAGATCAAAAATAAGGCTATGTAATGATTACACCTGTGCAACACTGCCCTCTGCAATGCTTCGAGGGCGTCGTGGGCCTTTCTCGGCCCAGTCTGTGTCCCTGCTCGAGATTCGTTTTCCTCGAGCACCACTGCCTGCGGCACGCGTCTTTCTTGTCGGGCAAAGCCCCTCGAGGAAGCACTATTTGTACACTCATGTGAGAGGCATGTGAGCCCAAGGAACGAGCATCGATCAATATATTCAAAGGAAGCTGCTTGCAGGTCGATACCTCTCACTGAGGTTCACAGGCAGCAACGCCTTTGCAAAATAATGAATCGTTGTGGGGATTTCCCTAAAAGAGGGTTAGACTCGTATTCCAACCCCCTTCAGTTGTCATGGACGCCATGGAGCTGTGAAGTTGTAAAGAAGCGCCATCTGGCCTCGAGCCCTGCAAACCTGCGCCGCAGCACAAACACATGCGGACACAGAGGCACACACGCACACACACAGAGACACACACACACACACTTGTACACCGGATCATCAAATCATTCAGGTCTCATCTGAGACTTGAAGAGAAAATCTTGGTGGGAGGTCTTCAAGAGGCTCGGATTTCCTTGTTGAAGGCTCCCTGAAATGAAAAATGTTGCCGCCAAGGCTGAGGCCCATAAGTCTTCTGCAGCGAGAACCATTTGCACAGCGACGATATCACAGTGGAGCACCATGCACTGCTGGCACGATCATCAGGTCACAAGCTTTTTGGCAGGTATGCAAGGCAGCGTCCCGACTCGCTTCACAGGTAAGATGCTGGCGTCTTCGTGGGTGCCAGTGTAGCATACGTCCCAAGCACCCCTTGCTGTCTTTCAACCTCATCGTAGTCAGCTCTGACTTAATAAGCCTACTTGGGGTTTCCCACACACAAGGATACAAACAGCCAGCGCGTTGTCTCTTGGACTGACCGGCAATGCTAGAAAGACAGCGAAGGGGCACCCAGATCCGGACTCCACGTTGCGGCCAATTCTTCGCAGGGCATTTCAGGGTGTCGACCCGTTGTTCAGAAGCAAATGCCTTCTGCAAGTCGCCGCAGCCCAGATGTGCAAATGCCAGCAACCTTTTTTGCACGGCTCACCTCCGTAGTTGCGAGAAACCGGGAAGCTGCAAACGATGTTGCTGGCACGAGTCATGTGCACTTAGGAGTTTGCACGAAATCCGCGGGTGTTTGAGAGACTCTGTATCAGAGACGCGCTCAAGGGGTCAATGAAGAAAGAAGCCGGCCGGTTGCAGAAGTAAGGTCGCTCCCGGAGTAGGCTTCCCGCATTCTCACTCCCAGCAGGCTGTGGAGAGATCCGTCGCAGAAGGCGCCAGCCAGTGTCTCAGCAAAGGCTGTCCGAACTCTCATCAAACATCCGAATGTGCGACGGTAGTGTATCAAATCGATGCATCCCACGGCCACAGTGCAAGGATCACGGCAAAGAGACCCAATTGACGCTGTGTGTCCAAGGCGTCAATGCCGTGGATGCCCACAGCTGGAGCGCGCTGCATTACTCTGCGGCCTCCGGCCAGTTAGAGGCGCAAGAGCCACTATTGCACCACGCCAGAGTCGGGCCTAGAGCGATTCAATCGTGCTGAGTTCGGGATCTCAGGTGTGCAAGTTTCTTCTGCAGCAGGGCTGCGACATCAATAGTACCCTGCGACTTAGCAGCATTCATGCAGCGTATGTGCAGCATGGCAGGTAGGGCCAAGTGGGCATGCTAGGCAAGAAGAGCATGAGTTCGCGGGCCGGGCAGGAACGATTTCTCCACGCCATTAATGCTGGCAGTGGAGGAGGCCGCAGCTCAGCCAAACGTGCATTACTGCACCGAGTCCGGCTCACTGTTATTGCGTTTTCATCGCTTCGCAAGGGCCACTTGAATGTTGCGCAGCTGTTGCTGAGCAATGGGGCTGTCCCATGGTGTAAGGCAGCGAGCACAGCTCTGCGCAGCTCTGCGCAGTCGCGTCACTGTTTTTCGGGATTTCCGGATGTGCTGAGGATGAGACGGGTTTCACCGCCAAGGAGCGAATTTAAGACTGTGCTGCAGGGCTTTTCAAGTTTTCTTGGTGCCCGTGAGGACAGATGCGACAAGAGCATCCAGGCAGAGCTTCTGCAACTGCTCGCAGCACCAGGCTACCGAAAGGCAGGTGCCCAAGTCTGGTCCTTCGAAACTCAAAGACATCTCAAAAGCTAAGCCTGCAGGTCGATGCCGGGGCCGAGGCCGTCCGCGTGTGATCTTGGCGGAGAGTTTCACAAAGCCAATGACAAGCAACAGGAGCAGGCGCAGCCATGCGCAGCTGGTCCCAACATCTTTCAAAGCGCACACAACCGCAAAGCAGAGATAAGCTGGGCCCAGCAAGTCCCGTTTCCATCTTGCGAGGTTTTGCTGCCTGAGGCGAGATATCCAATACTCTATAATCGCGAAGATGAGCGCCATTCGCAACAAAACCCGAGTTTCACAACAATACCTACCGCAATCGTGTTCAAGTCCACGTGCGTTGCTTGCGGTCTGTGGCTGATGGTGCGAGCCAGCACCTGCAGCGACCCAATGCTGCCAAAGAGCAAGCACGCCTGCCGCCAAAGAAATGCGGGCGAGTGGCAGCAAGCGAAAATGGCAGCAAAGCATCACGACTTGCATGCTGTCTGGACACCGCCAACATGTAGACACTGAAGTGTAGTGTGGTGTGAGCAAGAGCTTCCGGTAGGGTATAGCGAAGCCACGGATGGGGAATCAGGTTTGGGTAAAAATTGGATTGTTCACTGCAAGCATTTCTCACGGGGAATTCAACTGCTGTAGTGGACCTGTTGAGTTTGCGATTGGCAGTGAAAGTGCAGTGAACTTCGTTTCACCAGCGGTTTTCAGATTCCTTCTGGCCTGCTGGGTGTGTTGGGGTTGCGGTGCTCCAGGTGACGCAAGATGTGCAATCATAAGTCTGGGCACAAACATGAGAGTCAGGCAATCACTGATTCCGTGGCAGTGGCCTCAGGTCCGAGTTTGAGGGTCACCGTCGGCTTTAGGGACTTCAGTGCCGCATCTGTCAGTTTAGGATAGGCAGCAGGTATGTTTCCTTCATAGATTCATAAAGTGAATTTTGCGGACGTGCTTTTCGTTTATGAGAGTGGTGAAGGCTGCTCGTAGCTTCCATCTGGAGCGGGTCGGTTCTTCAACCAGGAAGATGTCGCCGGATTCAGACTGCTAGAATGCGTTTTTTGTTCAAGCCGCTCTTCTATGCAAATCAAGAAGAATCAACAAGCTAGTATCTAGACATTCAGGTTGTCCAGAAACCGTATTGAAGCAGGAGTAATCGCAGAAGCTTATTCCAGCGATGGTGAAGAATGGGAAGATTCATTCTGAGTTCTGCAGCAGAGGTCGCAAGTCTCTCCTGCAGTAGCTTGAAGTTCAGAAGTCAAAAATGACCAACGCCGGTGCCATAGATCCCGCCGCGCACACGGATTCTCAGCCTCAGTTGCAGCCCAATGAGAACTGACAGTCGGAACACGATTGAATCTGCATCAAGGGCTCTGCCGTTGCCTGAGCCTCAGTTTCCTGAAATTGGGCATGCCTTTGCCACCTTTGCCTGGAGCTTTCATTTGGCGAGGTCGAACTTGCCAGACGTGCGGCCGGCGCCGTGCACTTCGTCCTGATATTGACCGGGTGTGCCTCTCGTGTTGGCAGACGTTCGCTCAGCACAGATCCTGATGTGTGGGCGCAATGCACCATAGCTTCCGAGTCGCGCGCGCGCGCAAAGAGCTCCCAGCGCCAGGAGTTTGGTGCTCATTCAGAGCTTCCACACATTGAGTTTCTTTCATCAGCAGGCACCTCGAACCGCGATTTCTGAGTTCTGCCGAGCCAAGCTTTCGGACTTTCGGACCCAGAGCTGGCAGGGCCAATGGGCATCACTTCGCGGGGAAGCCTGGCCAACGACACGCCCTTGAGAGCAAAGCATCACAGTCTCGCCTGTAAGGCGACATGGCGAGGACCTGCTGGCAGTCCTACTTGCTCATTCTCAAGTTCTTCATGGCGCCGTTTTTCGAGGCTCGATGCTGACTCCTCTTGCTTCCTCTCTGGCCATAACAGCCAGATAATCAACACCATCGACCTTGTGAGCACAGTCAGCACACTTCTGCCTTGCATCCTTTCCTGTTCGAGGCTCGTTTCCTGGACACCTGGCTTACCTCGCAGGTAGACTTCGATACCTGGGCCGTCTTCGTGCCAGGGACGGGGAAGCTCAAGATTTGTTCTTTCACTTTTCAGGTATGTCTATTACATTCCATTCCCCAACTACCCTTTTGGCTGACTCGTACATGTTACGCCTGCTATGGTACATAGGTTGGTAGGTTGATAGATTTGTTTTCCATGTTCGCCAGCAGGTTCGGAGCAATAAGCTGAACAGCTGGGCAATCTCCAGCTCTTCATATTGGCCTTAATACTTAGAATAGGGTTTGGGGTATATTATACTATAATTATGATAAGGAACCCCCTAAACCCTCTCTGTTGGCCCCTCTGATCCCGACAGGTTTCCTCTTGCACCCTGAAGCAGGATCATGTCGCTTTTCCTGTGCTTCACAGCCTCCTTGGGCCCCGTGGCCAGCACACTGTCCGTAGTCGGGAGGGTTTGCAAGCTTGTTGTTGGTTCTGCTCGAGTTGTTGTCTAAGGTTTCAGCGTAATGCGGCGGCCGTGTATTCCATCCCGAACGCTGACCTATGCCCTGTGCGCAGCTGTCCTCCTCGTGTCGCAGGCAATTATGTAGACTGGAGGTTTGAGCTCCTTCCATCGGCAATTCCTTCTGAGAGGTGGAGGTGGTGCAGGCCCTCGCAGAGTTTAGTACCTGGGAGGACGGGATCTCTTAGGGCACTGCATGTCTGCCACGCTCCGGTTGGATCTTCTACGATAGAGCTGATTTGAGAATCCGAGACCATGCTCCTGCCAGAAGTGTATGACGTTTCCCACCCCACCTCTCCCGGTTAATGTGCCGAAACAGCATCTGGCACACAATGTGGGCATTGCCAAGCCTCGCCTCAAAACTCGTCCAGGAGGTTCCGTTCGCAACAGCCGACGAACAGAAGCTCGAGTTGCAGCGACAGCTTTTCAAGGCGCACGGGGTTTCTTAGCAGGTCAGAAGCATGATGCATTTCAACTCCTCTGCCGACGCAGAGCTCGGCTAGCTAGGGATCTCAGGCAGCTGGAATCTGCTGCGATTCCTGGCTCGTGAACATGTCTGAAGCCTCACTTTTGCGTACATATCCGCATACATTAACCTTGTGCCTGGTTTCCGCTAACTCCGTTCCCCACCGGACGCAACAGACTAGTGCTCCCGGTCAACATGGTTTGTCACTCCGACCAGACACTGAACCGGTGTGCGGCTACGTGCAAGTGTGCAAGAGCTTGCGCACGCGCGTGCTTGCCCCTATTGTGCCGCAGAAGGGAGAAGAAGAAGCGCGGCAGCTCCTTCGGCATGAGCACATCCCATGATGTGAATCTGCCCGTGAACTTCACAGCTAGCAGAAGTTCCGGCGCAGAAACCGTGCCCCCTTCGACGCACAACCAAGAACCGAAAGCTCCCACCCTCCACACAGGGCTTGCGGCAACAGCTTGCTGTACGGCGAAAGTCTACTTCTGGAAGGCTGAGGTCCATCGCACTCATTTCCGTTATTTTCCGTCTTTTTTGTGACATCGTTTGGCTTGCGGGCTTTTCTTCGACTTGTGTCGTTTGAGTTGTACAGCCGTTTCTGCTGGTTCGCATGCAACGGACAAGCGACTGCGGCTTGATTTAGTTCGGTGCTGCTGCTGGCACCAGCTGTGGTCTGTTCGAAGTCGGGAGGCAGCATTTGTGACATGACATGCGTGAGTCTCTCCTTTCCAGTGGGCTGCGGGTTTATCCGTATCACAGACCCAGCATTTGGTAAGAGGTGTGAAGGACCCAAGCGCATTCTTCCTGCTTCGGGGCTTAGGGTCATAATTCGCAGAGTTGGGTGGACGACCAGTATTGAGTGTTGACACGACGCGGCCGACAACCTCAATTTCGGGTCGGTTGTGGAATCAACGGACGTGCTGTGAGAGTGGCGGTCGTAACTTCCAACGTCGGAAGTCCTTGGCCAAGTCCAGAGTGGGGTACGCAAGTTCCTTCTCACCCTGTCCTGGCCCCGTAGGAGAACTCTTACATGTCAGGGGGGCCTGTGGCACTCTGGCCTCTGTAACTCACCTCCTGGAGTTGTCGACAAACTCCTTTCGCAACATCTCGCAACTGGCCTGGCGTCTGCGAATATACGGCACTTGGCTAAACCGGAGCAACTAGTTAGTTTGCAATACTGGCACGGTCTCCGCGCCTGCTCGATTCAGCACCAAAGATGGATTCCTTACGCATCTTGCGAGTGCGATCGAGGCATACGTTACAAAGCCCAGTCAGTCCCTGTCTTTACGGGCACCTCTCGAGACAGTCAACGCCGATGCCGTCCTATTCAGAGTGGTCGGGCCTGCCCTCTGGGAGTTAAGGATGCTCACAGTCGCCCGAAAGCCCTGCAAAGACGCTTGCACGTCTCTTGCATTCTTTCTCACAGCAGGAGCTCTTAGCACTGGCCGCAGCTGCCCCAACAGCGAGAAAGATGACCAGGGCTACGGAAATAAGCGCAGTGACTGTCTGTAAGCATGCAAGTCTGAACACAAGGTGTGTGTCTAGAATGCCGCACGGAGTGCCAGGCATCCCACGCCTCCTTCGTCTCGATGCTGGATTACAACCAGTGCCCAATGGTACCAGGGGCACATTGTCTCCAAATAGAATGTGTCGGGTGAATCCCAGCTGAGCTCCGTGGGCGACTGGGCCGCCTGGGCCAGGATTCTGCTGACATCGTCAGGCAAGAGCCCGCGGGTTCCTGCACTGCATGCCCCGGAGTGTTGAAAGTTGAAACGTCTGCCCGTTTGTCTCGTTCGGCTCACAGCGCAGAAAGGGGCGAGGGCACCAAGTCCCTCGGCAAATACGAACAGCTAACAGAAGCAAATCTGCGAGTGAGAATCCAACAGCCTTGGCAAGCCCATACGAAGGGAAAATGAGAGACCCGCACTGGTGATAGAACCGAAGATTTAGGTTGCATTTCCGCATCCTATGGCCGGATGGAGGTCCTACCTCCCTGCGATCCCTTCAGCCTTCGGCCCTGGAATACCGCCCTTCGTCGGCAGTGCGGCGAAATTGCGAAAGCCAGAGGTCACCAGCCTGAGACAAAAGCCCATTCCCCTGGCTTCCGAGGCGTGCTTGTCCGACCTCGCCACCAGCATCAATGGCGAGGTCAGGGGCGAATCGGGGCGCGTTTTCTTCGGAAGTGTTCGGGTCTTTGCACTTTACTCTCAGTCATCACGAAGAAGTTCGTTTCTGCGCTCCGTACTTATGTAATTTGCTGTCAAGGCCGTGTACAATTGCTTCTCAAGGGCGGCTGTATCTGTGAAGCACTATAGTGTTGTTCATCTCCTTTTCAACGAAGTCTATCTCACCGTTGTGCAACTCACCCTCATCAACATCGATCTCGGATTGATGACTTTACATGGCTTCCCTAAGAAATCTTGATCTTCAGCTTGAAGTTCAGACACGCACCCCGCGCTGAATCAAACCTGTGGCTCACACGCAGCCTGCTGGCTGAGATAAAATAAAACTCTTGCGAACGATCGCAGCCATTATATGTATATGCCAAGCTGTATTCGATGTGTTCCGTGTACTTGCGAATGTCGTTCAGGGATGTGATCACTTTGCAATTAGCTGGTTCCTCCTCCTCGTTTAAGGTGACAATCTGAAGAGTCTTTCTCTGATATTTCGCAGGCTACTGCGTTTTGGGTGGCAGCTACGGTAGGTTTAAATCATCACCCACTGTGCAGATTTGGGTGCTCTTCACTGTAGCGTATAGGCCTGAGATGTGGTTATGCCTCTTCGCTGAGTGCGGCCAGCAGCCAGGACGAAACCCCGCTGCAGGAAGTGGCCCTGCGGCGGTTAAAGCGCCCACTGAGCCCAGCCTCCTTTCTAGCGCGGAAGGCCGGGTTTTCGTTTCTGTTCGGCATCCACTGGGCCTGATTTAATGAGGCATCGCATCTCCCACGCAAATCTCACTTTTCGGAGCTTGCGCGATTCAACAAACACTCCGAAGGCTCCGAAGAATCAGAAAATGGCCAGCTGCTCCCGCTGAGAGGGCAACCGAGGCCCAAGCGCCCCCAACAGGCCTCCATCTCCTTTCTGCGCAGGTGGCGCAGGAGGCCTGTTGCAACTACCCACCGGTCTTCAACGCCACGCGCTGGCACCGATCCCCTCGGTCCCCGCGTGATGGCCGAGGCCATCACGCCATGTCACGAATGGTCTGTTCTGTCGACGGCTTAATGAGTCTGGCATGTGGTGCGGGGTCTAGGGCAGAATTTACATGCCACGGTGCCGATCGGCCGATCGCTCCGGATGTCTTTTGGACAGGCTAGTGCAGGTGATCAATGGTTCCGTATGGCCACTCGCTTTCGAGTCTTCTCGGACTCTTCCTACGGGTGCTCTCCTTTCCATCAGGCCGACGGCGCTTTTCTGGTGCATCGCGGACGGGTTACAGCCCTGAGAGGCAGGCCACAAGCTTGAGCCAACTGTCAAACGAATGCTTCTTGGCGGCTGCAAGCAGCTACTAGCAAATACCCCCAGGTCGACGGCCGCAGCACCTTGCCTGCAGAGCTGCGAAGACTCGGTGATGTCGTCTCAGTAGATCACGGACCTGGGTTTTAGAGTGACTGCCTCTACGACTCTACGGCAAAGTTTTCGAGAATTGAGCTGTGTTCTGTCACTTAGTGTAATTAATGCCCAGGCAAGCCCACGGAGCAAGATGCACAGCCACACGTGGCCATCGCACGAATCGAAGACATCGTGGCTGCCTCGCTTGGGCCTCAACTTCTTCCTGTTGCCTCTGCCGTGTGCAGACGAAATTGACGAAAAGCCTTCTGAGTTTGGAGGCCATTTCGAAGGCACCTGGACGGGGGGCGGCTGTCACACGGGGCGGCTTCCTCAGAGACATCACAGCCGTCACAGCCCAGCCTTTTGTGGAGGTATCCATCGGGAAGGAAGCGGATCGCCAAGGCCAACAAGCTTTGACACTTGACGCCTCAGCTTTCTGCCATTTTGTGCCCTTCATCTTACAGTGTCTTACAGGTCCAACCAGGCCCTCCAATCTTCGGAACTGCTCTCGCCAGCGGTTCTTCGAGGCGTGGTTGATGCAAGCTGAAGTCGCATTGCATTGGTTTGGAATGGCAAGGGCGCTTGAGCAGCTACAAGATGAAGACCTCAAGCTCTGCGCCTGCGCTGGCTTCCAAAGGCTTTGCCCACACATGGATCATCACTGACTTCTCCACTGACATGCTTTCGGAGACCTTTAGGAATATGCTCTTCAGCCTCTGTAGCACTGTGGTCCCGGGCTACTTGTCCCCACCGCATTTCCACAGAGACCTGTGCTTTTGCAGCTTCGCCCCGCCGCGGCACCCGGACGCTGATGTCGCTGGTAGCAGATGGCAGGTGCCTGCAGCCTTTTTTTATCAGCTGTCAAGGGATCCAAGGAACTTTGTTGCGGCTCGCCAGGCAAACAAGCAGCAAGAAGGAGCATGATCGCGTGACCAAGTGCTGTTGCCCCAGTGGACGGCTGCAAGCGCAGGCACGCTATGATGTTCCGCCACACTTCGAAAATTAGCTAAGACCTGCTTCGACAGCTGAGAAGCTGTTTTTTTGCTGATGGTAGCATCGGAATTTCCACCCAAGGTCTACAAGGCATCGTGCGGCGCACAGCGGTGGCTCAGAAGGTTGCCATGGCTTTCTCGGAAGCAGCTGGAAGAGCTCGCGATGCAGGCCACCCTTGCATCCTCTTGCATCCGCACCCACATACGACAGCTTGATGGAAACCCGACGGAGCCACAGCTCTGCTGCTAGGAGCACCGGAGATGGATGAGCCAGGCACACCATGAGCCCTGAGGCCTGCAAGCCCCGTGTCTCGCTTGGAGACACAGACGTTTGCCACCCATGCTTTGGCAGAGCGGTTGAAAACCCCTGTGCCATCGCATGGCGGGGACAGGGAGAGGGGCTGGCGAGGACCGCTCCTCGAACATGAATGGTGAGTCGTGACTCAATGTTCCAGTTCAGCTAGGTAGCCTGTCCCCCGGCCAAGAATTGGCAACAAGCTTGCCTGAAGTGCGGTTGACGTTCCATGGAGCTTTGCTGGAGCTTAAGAGGGGACTGGTCGGTGTGGTAGCTGGAGAGGCCAGGAGAGTAATGGTGATGCTGCAACACTTAGAGTACTGGCAGATGAGTTCGCAGTGATCTTTTGCACCACATTGTTTGTCTTCGGGAAGAAACATGGCCAGATTCCAAGCATTCCTCAAGGAAGGCATTGGCGACCAAAGGCAGCTGCAGCAGACTTTGATTCTCCGCAAGAGAAGCTGCAGTCAGTTTGACTCGGGACTTGCTGGAGAGCATGCTGGAGGTATTGGTACGGTGCGAGAATGTCTGTTACACCAGATTTCGTCGCTTGTTGCAGCTCTTGCCAGGCATCCAAGGTTGAAATTGCACATTATCGCGTAAGTGTTGAGACAGGAAAATGCAGAATCCTGCACAGTGCCAATTCGTTGCGGAGGGCTTCAGCGGCAGTGGTCCAGTCATCCTGTGCTCCCCATGACACAGCCACGGCCAATTCAGCCTGTCTCCGCACAGCCAGAATGCTCAGCACACCACTGCCAAGCCGCAGTTCTGCCCTTCCGTGGCCCCCGAATCAGGAGGCCGAAAGAGAAAGGCCGGCTACATGCACGAAAGCTCCCATTTTCCAGGCCGCGGTAGAAGCGGCACCAAATGCAGTGTGGCCAAGTCCAGGAGACGACAGATTCTGCACCGAGGAGCCTAGAGAATGCTCTTTCCTATCTCAAGAGTGCAGGGCTTGACTCCTGGGTTTTGCTACCGTCAAGCCCCGAAGGGGCAGCTGAATACAGGTCCATGGAGCAAAAAAGCTGGAAACGTGCCGCGTGTGCGCGAAGCTGGCCTGCTCTGCCAGGTGTACGCTGGAGAAGAGAGTCTTGCCCGTTGTGGTGGCACAGGACTTCCTCTTCGCCGTCGTCCTTCTCCGAAACATCCGAGCCATCAGCCGTCATTACATGTCATTACCAATCCGCCGAAATCAGCCTTTTGACCATCACCTAGCACCACCACGACCGCTAAAGCCAACAGCACCGCCACCGCCGCCGCCAATGCCACCCCCACCACTACCACTACAACCACAACCACCTCCACCGCCACCGCCACCAACGACAACACCAACATCAACACCAACACCAGCACCGACATCACGACCACTCCCACCAGCCACCACCACGTCAACATGAGCAGCAACAACAGCATTAGTGGGGCAGTGGTCACGACAATCCCAAGAGAGAGGGATGTTCAACATATTCTTCAGATCCCAGTGTGCAGAGATGCCTGGGTGCACTTCGTAGGCAGCCGGCTGAGGGTAGAGCTTCTGAGCTCGTGGGTGGGTCGGTTGCGAAGGGTTGCTTTAGAGGCCCCGGGTTTTCAGAGGCCTGATTTCAGGAGTCCGTTGTTTAGTAATCATTAGCTTCTTGCGTACAAAACGTGGCATCATGGCCCTTCCTGCGCCCTCTGATTACCTTAGTGGTCACCAAATTTCTTCCGAAATGTTCGCAGATGCAGGAGTTCTGCCAGCCACTGGACCTTCCCGGTCAGAGCAGCCGAAAGCGTGTACAGGCCCTTGCGGTATGGCTCCACTCATCTCGTGAGTGTGTTCAGTGCGGTACCCATCCGCGGGAGGCGTGCCAAAAAGCTGGCAAGGCCCTGTCGCTTTGGAGTTCTCCTCGGGCCTGACCCTGAAAGCTGTCTCGCTGGAGTTCTCCTGTTCCTACAAATGTTGAGCCAAGGAAAGGGACGAGCTGTAGTTTTTCCGGCATGGAATTCTCAGCACAGCATGCCCCACCATGAGTTTATCTCCCTGCCAGTTGTCGTTGCTGGTCCGCTACCTTCGATGCCGCACTCTCCTTGCCCCACCCTTAGTGGCTGTCACGCGGGTGAGTCGCCGAGCTTGCAGCGAACTGAGGTTGGAATGGGCAATGCTCTCTTGGATCGTTTGTTTGCCTGGAGCTTGTGAGTACTTTTGGGGGGACTGAAGGGGAAGTTGTTCCGAAGCAACCAAAGGCTGGGGGTGCTCCTGGCCGTCTACATGTCGATCCGGCCCAAACTGCTGAGCCAGGGCCCTGCAGCACACAAAGAGGCATACCGGCTTTGCTGTGCCACTTCGCTTCGCGGAAGATTGTGGAGAAAGCATTGGGGCAGGTCTTGGGCTGTGTTGGTCTCAGCGTGGCGGCCATCATCTGGAAGGAGACGCGCGACCAAGCACCAAAGCGCGCTGAAATTCCCTCGAGTGGCGCCGGAAGGTTGTCGGTGGCGTGGAGGAGTCTCGACTTCTAGGAGCCTGCAGACATTGGAACCATCTGCTTTCCAGTGGATGCTCTTGCACCCAAGGCCCTTCAGAGCTCCGTCTCTGCAGGAGCGGTGGCCTCGTGAAATCCGACGGAGCTCCGTCCCCTGCATACAGACAGGCGCTGGGGATGACCCTATATGACATCTGGAAGCAATGCCTTCATGTAGATGCGCGATAGACCTTGCTGCATTGCCGTAGTTGCCATGACGATGATGCTGCTGGTCGTGAAGATGATGATCATGATGATGATGATGATGACGATGTGACAGCTGATGCCGATCAGTGTCATGATCTTGTTCTGTGCCTCGTATGGTTGGTGTTGATGGGTTGCCCAGCCAGGACCGATGGTGTCGTGCAAGCGAAGCCGTGGTCCGCGGACAGTCTCTCTCCGTTTCACCCAGTTGTCCCGGCTGCCGGTGGGCTTGCAATCTTCGTTCGTGAAAAGCTAAAACTGCAGAGATGAAAACTTAACCTCCCTCCGGGAAGCGGTGACGTGTCTCACAGGGTTGATTTTCCCAGCATCTCCCCCCTAAAGACCTGAACATCGAGCAATTGCAGGCAACCGGCAGCGCGTTTGGCTGCGCAGCTGAAGGTCAGACACATTCATCCACGTTAGCCTGCATGAGCCCGTTGTTTTTCTATGTTGGCTTGGCTCGCCCCTTTGGTCCCAGGTGTCTTGGTATAGTTTCGATGACATGCCACAGGAAGTATAATTGCATAATTATGTTGCCCTTCTGTTCGGCGCTTTGGGTCGAGACTCAGAGCGCAGAGCCACATGCTGGCAACACCATCACGGTGCAGATGTTCACAGCATGTTCCAGCAACCGCGTCCTTGCAGCCTTCTTTGCCCGAATAACCTCCATAGGCGACAATACTGGGCAGCCCTTATTCTGAAGAGCGCACGGCGCTGCATGGCATCGGGGACTCAGGCATCCACGGCTTGGTGCTTGGATCTTTCCCAGGTTTAGACGTGACGTGCTCCTTTTTCAAATTCCAAGCGGGGTGTTCCCAGGGCTTCGGCTTCCATCGCCGAGCAAGCAGCCAAAGCCTCACGCTGTCCGGGCGCAGCCAGGTGCGCGCAGAGCTAACATCCGAACTTATTGGGCTGAATCGCAACCAGAAGCATTGAATTACAGAGACAGACTCATGGCCCGAGCAGGCGACAGCCAGCCGCAAGGGTGTCTCCAGAGGCACTCTCCTGCGAGATTACGTAGCTGACTGATTCTGAGACTGTTGCTTCGTCTGGGTTCGGTCTTTGTTCTCTGTGGGCTCAGGGGGCACACATCCCACTCACCTGGAGCATGATAGACAGGGCTGCTGCGAGCTGCCAGGCATTGCCATTGCACGAGCACCTTGTCCTGGCACTCAGCCGAAACCGACAGGGGCAGGGGATGGCAGGGCTTTCAGGGGCTTTAGCCCCCTGCCCAGCTCTTGGCTCAGGCCCCGCGTGCCGAGGATCCAGCACGCTGGGATGGGCGCGCGTCGCAGATCTTTGACTCAGTTGCTGGGATGATCGAGACGTGCGTCAGGGTTTCAGCCTTCTCATCGCTGATGTGGACACCGAGACTGGTCTCAGCTCTGGGCTCTGGGCACGGTGCTGAAGGGCTGAATCCTCATGACCAAGTCTGAACACCCGGCCGGTCCAGGTCGGCCTGACGATGACCAGTCCAGACAGCCATGGGCCCATGGGCCATTCTCTCTTGGCGACTCAGTCGGATTGGTTTCGAAGACCTATGACCCGAGGCCTGGCCTTGCGACCTGGCGACATGGATTTTGCAGCGGATGTCCCGGGCCGCTTACCCATACAAGCGAGGAGAGAAAGCATGCAACCCCTCCTGTATGCATCGCGCCGAGACAGCGTGGTGGCCGGCGGTGGTGGTGCCCTCTGGGATGGAAACCAGTGCGACTGGGCCGCCTTGGCCAAGTTGTCACTCGCTCACTCGCATGTTTTGTCCCTTCTTTGGGAAGTGAGGCCATGACATCACCTGGGACACGAGCCAGCTGCAAGTGGGCGACCAGGCAAATGAAGCGATGCCGTGCTGGACAGGGCCCTCACAGTCCAGCGCCAGGTGCATGTCTTCCTCAGCGGGGGCGAATTCCAAGCCTGCGGCTCTGTCGACCGGCTCACTTCAAAAGAAGCCCTGCTTCGTGCATCAGGTCCGGCTGAACGGCAGGACCGTAGCGGCGTGCGAGGCGCGGCTCAGAGGTCGAGAAGACGCGACCCATCGCGACCCTGCAGCTGATCTCAGGCCTCTTTGCCGCTGCGCGGGCCGTTCTATCCCCTGGTGGAGCTGCGAGGCTGCACCAAGGTCCCGACCCCTGGAAAACCTCCTGTGACTCAAGACCCAAGTTTCTGCCAGACCCGTCTGGGTTTGTTGAGGCCGTGGAACTTCTCCGGGAGAGCTCCCTCTGCCTCTCCCTCGAGGCCACCTAGGCCCTAGGCCCTAGGCTCAATCGCTCGTTTTCTAATCTCCAATTCCTGCTAGCAGGAGCCGCGGCCTCTGCCGCAGGCCACGCCGGAGGCTGCACCACTGGGGTCATGAGGAAACCCACTTGACACAAAAACATGCCATGTGCCTCGGCGGCACATGCGAACTGGACGCGCCAGGTCGGTCAGTCTGGACCCGAGTTGTAAGACAGGAGGGGGTCGGAAGCCAGGAGAGGGCGCCCAGAGCCGCCTTAAGCCTTAAGGCGGGACGCTTCCGTCCAGCGCCAACCAGGTGCAACTCACCTGATCAAATGGCGAAGTGAAAGGGGCCTCAACAATTTTAGGACCTCGCCGGGCACGGAGCGAAACTCCGAGCAGACTGCAGTGCCCTCAGCCGCCTCGGGAGTCTTGTCGGCTTGGGGTCACTCCGGGAGTCCAAGGGGAGAGTCTAAAGTCTGGAGCTCTTGAGCTTCAGCCTTGCTGGCCCCTTTACTCTTCCGTGGCACGGAGCCACATATAGCCACATAATCGCGCATGTCTGAAAATAGAGAGGAATCTCGCAAAGCTTTCCTCGAACCACCCTGAGCAGCGTCATCCCACACTGCTCACCTTCCTTGATTCAGTGTTGAGCCGACTCCGACCTCTGCAGCACATCGAGGCGTCACAGCCACAGCGCGAGGCTGAAGCCCAAAGTCGACACAGACACTTCGTCGGCCGAGCGGTTGGACCTTGAGCATGGCCAGCATGAGGACCGGTACGGGTAACCGCTCTTTCTCGCCGACGGGGCCTCTGCTCTGCTCTTTTGCAAAGGACCCGCGCCTCTGGACCACTGTGCGCGACTGCCTCGCGCGGCCCGAGAACTACGATCAGGCCAGGCCCGGCCGCCGAGAGATGCGAGCGAGGCGCGTCACGGCGTCGCGGCATGTCGCGGCGCTTCCCCGGAGGTGTTTCACGCTGTTTGTGCTCTCCTTTGCGAAGCAAGGGTCAGGGCCTCCGGCTCACCATGCTGACGTGGAGCTCCGGCGGAAGCTGGCAGAGCGGCAGCATGCGGCAGCTAGGCGGAGCGAGATGGCTTCCAGCAGCGCCTGGGCGAGGCTTTGACAGTGAGACAAACTCGGAGCCCTCGTCCTCGTGCGTCCGCGCTCCAGAGTCAGAGGCGGAGCGCGCCAACGTCCTCGGGGCTGCTGCGGCGAAGCGCCGCGAGGCGGAGCTCCGGCGCTTGCGTGGCCTCCTCAGACGGAGCGGCGGGTCCGGTTCGGACTCTGACAGACATGCGATATATGCGATGAGAGGCGAAGAGTTGAAGCGTCAGGCCGCTCTTCTCGAGGAGTCACGGGCCCAGTGATTTGCGTAGCCGTGCAACCATTTTGGTATGTCGGCGCCTTTGCACAATCCTCAGTCGAGGTCCAACATGGCATGTCAAACACTTGCGAAGGAGCTGACAACTGCGAAGGACTGCAGCAAATGAAATTCACACTAGCTCACTAGCCACGCCGATACAGAAGCAAAAGTTGCTGCCCCACGCTCCTCGAAAAAGCCTTCTCGAGCACTGTCATGCCAAGGTAGCAAGTTTCAGTGCTTCCCAGGACGCGAAGAATCGAGCGCAGTGCCGCATAAGGCAGCTGCAGCTGGAAGCCAAGAGGGTGAATTCACGTGCGGTCACTGGAGGGCAAACTCTGCAAGAGGCACACATTGCAAGGCGGCTTCTGGATGCACTTTGCTAGCAGGAATCGGTAAAAGGTCTGAGAAGCCAAGCGACGGGAATGCTTCGGAGGTCCAAGGCTGCAGATGTGGGTTGGGCTGCTCGTGCTGTCGCAGGGCAGCCCAGAAAAACTGGCTCTTGGAGACAACTCATTCTGGAAACATTTGGTTACCTGGTTCGCCCGACCTTCTGTGCTTTACAGGACACAGCTGCCGCTGCCGACGCATTGATCTGTGCCGATCGAGCAACAGAAGCCTCCGCAAGAAACCCTCGAGAGTGTCTTTGAGGCTGTGGCAGCATTTGCTCATTCTGACACATGCCCTTCTCGGCTCTTGCCAATGCATCGTAGAGTCTGTTAGAGGCAACAGGTGCTGTCAGAGATATGCCTCAGTTCAAAAAATCATCGAAGTGGTAAGGGCATCAGCATTCGTGACATTGAGAGCTGAATCAAAGCACGCATGTGCTGCTTGGTTGTCTGCAGGGAGGTAGCTGGCATTAGCTTCACAGCTCGGATAGACATGATTCCGTTGAGCGCACCGGCTCCAATCAACGTGGGCACACCGACACCGGAGATGCTCGAGAAGATGCGGCGAATCCGGTTTTGCGTGATAGGAACCTTCGTGGCCGCTGTAGGGCGATTCTGCACCGGCGACATTCCCATCAACGAAGTGCTCAGCGGGTGTGTTGGGATCTTCCTCCTCAGTGACGATCCGAATGTGGCACCTTGCTATGCTTGCTTGGCAAATAGTCCGCTCGGTCAATGCAGCCACGGGTTAACCTGCGTGATGGCCTATGCTTTCCTCTCTGGTATCAACGCCATCTTCCTGACTCTGAAGCTCTTCGTGGGGGGCCCATTCGTGCTCGTCTCCTTCGTTTGCCAAGGTGCTGGGGCCTACCAAGGTCTCAAGCTCCACAACCTGGTGAACGCGAACATGGTTGATGGACCCATGGCCCCTCTTCAGCGAAACTTCCCAGGGCCTGGCGGTCCTGGACCCCCTGAGACTCCGGGGCCCCAGCCGCCAAGCTTTCAAGCTTTCCAGGGCACAGGCATGCGCCTAGGGGGCTGATGCAATCGACGCCGGGAACAAAAAAAACGCCTGCGAGCTACCCTTCGTTACTTTACCTTCCTGCCATGCTCCCAAACATCTCAGCACTCGTCGCGGGTGCCATCTCGGCTCAGGGTGCTAAGCCTGTATGGTGGCATTGCAAGTGGTATTGCAATCAGGAGTCAGATCAGGATCATTGCAACAAGAAGCGCTCCTCTGAACGCTACATCTTGTGCACCATTGGTTCGTGGGGCTCTTGAGCGTCTCCGTCCTGGGCCATGGCTCTGCGATCCGTCTCTTGGTCCCAGCCTTTGCTGCGTCTCTCAGTGCTGTCGAGCGAGTCGAGCCAAAATAAGGCTGACCCCGGCCCTGCTCCTTGGCGCCTGTGGGGTCTCTCTCGGTGCAGCACTCGGTTTCAACCTGCACGTTCGAAAGTTGCAACTCAATGAGAAAGCTAAGTTTGCAGCCACTTTGCTGGGGCCCGTAGGCTTCGTTGCTCCACGCTCGCCGCGATTCAGCGTCACCGGAGAGGAGCCAGTACATCTATCAGCTTGGCTATCGTGAGCTCTTGAATACTGGGCAGGGCCAAAAGAGCAAGGCTCACATGTGCCACATCTGTGTTTGAATAGATCTGGTACTTATTAACGTGATCTTCTTCGCAGGGGCCTGGCGCCACGTCGCCACCTGAGTGAGGTGTCGTTGCGCGCAGAAGGGCACGAGGAAGCCCACAAAAGCAGAAGCCGCTAAACATCCACGAGAGGAACTTGTGACGCAGTGGCAGCTTTGACTTTCCCAGTCTCAGGCAACTGGCAGCTTCGACACAGGGCCAGGACAGCCACAGCCAAGACAGCAGGCCAGGCCGATGCCGAAGCAAAGAAGCAAATCCTCGCTTCGCGCAGCTCCTGCAATGATTCACCGCGCCAGGCCTGTATGGGCGTGGGTGGCCTTGGCGACCTGTATCGGAGGCAGGGCGAAGTGAAACCTTTGAGCCTTTGACTTCCTTGCGGCACAGAAATGAGGCGCAATGCTTCGCCGCACCGGAACACGGGAACAGAGCGCAAGCTTCTCGCGCAGAGATGTAGCGGTCCCAGGAGAGGCTTCGGACCTCAAGAAGAAGAAGAAGAAGCCACTCCGCCTCCCTCTCTCCAGAATTTGGAAGTGCATGATGCCCTGAGGCTCTTCTGGCGAGCGGTACCTCGCTGCTTGCACCCCAGGCCCCCCGCAGAGAAAAACACATTTTTCTGATTTGACTTGTCATGAAAACGGATGGAAATCTTGACCGCATCCTGCATGTTGCCAATTGACACCACGGCTTGCAGGCTGCCTTCGCTCAGTGCCCTTGTTGGCTTGTGCGATGTCGTGTGGGGGATTGCGACATGTGTCATCACTGATGCCTTTGAGGTACCGGATGGAGGACCGCATCCCTTATTTCCGTGAGAAGGCGGGGAGTGAGAGAGCAGAACTGCGCAAGAAGTGCAACCCGGGAGTGCCACTGCCTCGAAGTCTCTTGACACCTGGACCGGAGGCACGAGTTCTGAACTTCGCAGCCGACTGGTGCAACTCCTCGCGAGGTTGGACATCTCACGGTGTCCGGTTTGGCCGACTATGAGGTACATGTTTGACGTCAAGCCTTTGGTCCACCCGACCGAGAACCTGGTCAGCGAAGAGATGTGCAAGGCACACAGATGTCCTCTGTCGGATTCGGGCACATCACTGCGCCTACTGGCCAGGAGATGGGCGCTGCCTGCCCAGATGCTCGTTCCCTCGCCAGCCTTCGCGAGATGTGCGCCGGGGGTGCTCCTACTGCTTGACCACGCTTGACGTGAGCATTTTCGCCCGTGCCTGATTCGTGTATGAGATGAAAGCTTCTATCACTCATGGTTTGTTCTCTTTGCTTTTTTCAAGGGCAGGTCGAAAAGTACTCGTCCGCTCCCCTATGGGCGCTCGGACACCTCTTGCATGGCACATGACCCCAAGAGGAGATGTGCGGTTCTCTCCATTGTCAAGAGACCTGGGACGTCAGGTACAAGGGCAATGTGAGCCAGAATGCCGGTGCCGGTGCCTCCGTCACAGTCTTCGAACGGAACATCCTTTATCCCATGAAGCACGGCACTCAGATAACCCCTGACAACATAGATCTGGGTGCGCTTTTGGAACAGACCGTTTCAGATCCTCGGTTCTCGCTGCATCTCATAATCGTATGGGTCTTGGTCCCTTTGATGATCAACCTCTGCAATGCGCTCCGCAACTCGGAATTTGAGCGGCTCAGGGACGTGTCCCTGAGCAATGCGGTGGATCCAGACACCTCCGAGGAGCTGCAGCAGGTGCAAACCCAGCCTTGGAAGCCTGAAACTTCCTGGACCCTCGCTCTCCCCCCAGATTTTCCAGAAGTTCGAAATCAACCAGTATCAGCTGGGGAAGGCTGCCCGCGAGGACCGCCAAAGCAGTCTGTTGTCGTGTTGCGCTGAGGGAACTTCCGACTTTCAAGCACCACAGCATCCTGCCTAAACCACCCGACAACAACTAGTGTAGTCTAGTTCATCAGGATCGCATGAAAAGTAGTAAATCTGATGATCATATTGGTGCTTCCATTTGGAGGAAAACATTACCGCCGCGCGGCAAAAGTTCGACGAAGGGAGGCTGCTGATGAACCAGTTCTTCACGAAGGCATGCAAAGACGTGTGCATTCCAGAGTTGGGGAATTCCGAAGCCAATTGGTTAATGAGTTTCATGTCTCTGTGAATATTGCTGCTGCAGATTTTAAGGTTGTTGCCCGCTGCTCCCACGTCTATCCTTGCTCCCAGTACTACGGCCATCATCGTCATCATAATCATCATCCTCATAAGCCGCAGTACTCCTTGCAATGCATTTTGACATTCGAGCTGCCACTGTCGAGAATTTCCATCAGACTATTTACAAGCCTCAGCACTTACCACGAGGAGCCCACATTAGTAGTTGGTACTGGCACATTCTACCACGCAGGCACCATCGGCATGATGAAAAGCGCGCAAGAACATACCCATGGAACACAGCCCTCCTGGCCACCAAGGTCAGATCCTGCGCGCATACTTCGCTTACCACGGTGACTGTCGTGCAATGTGCAAATGCAAACGCACGCAGAAGAACAACATGCCGGGATACGACCACCACCACCACCACCTCGACTAACTACTACTACTGCTACTCCTACTACTACTCCTACTCCTACTCCTACTCCTACTACTACTACTACTACTACTACTACTACTACTACATCTGCTCCTACGATGGCACAATTAAACATTAAACCATCGCAACTGCTGCTGCCTCTGCCTCTGCCATCGCTTGCTGCTGCCATCCGATGGAGGTGGACGAGAGCGTTGGCTTGAAGGCTGGGGATGCCGTGCACTTACGTGCAGGCAGATGGCTGCGTACTATCATCCTCAAGTTCGAAAGGCACACACAGTGTCATAACCTGTCAACATGCCTTTGCCACTTCGCTTTCCTCATGTATACTGCATTGAAGTCTATAGGGCATGTCACCTTGTACCTAGTTGGCCCCCTTGTTACATCTCCGACGTGTCGCCTGTACATCCTTTCGATATCCTGTTGTCCACTAAAGTTGGTTTGTTAGCCTATCATTCCGCTATGCCGGTGTACCTGATGTCTGTCTGTGTGCACGCGCTACGAGGTATTGCTTCGGACTTGCAGCGTTTTTCTTCCATTCGTCTGCCCTGCCCATGTCTGAGTACTACGGCCATGCCACCATGTTGGTGTTTTATCCTCTGTGCTGCGATTGCTACGAGCTTGATTATGTTTCTTATTGTCACGCTCTCGACGTTGATCTTCGGTTGTCTTCAGTGGGAATTTCATCGTGATTCAGTGTTGTCATTCAATGTGGTGGTCGGCTCGCCAATGTCCAGCTGGCGATCCCTCAGCATGATTGTTCATCCTGATCAACAGCTTCAAATATTGGACATCCAAGACGAAGACACAGACCGAAATGAGTTGGAGAGGATGTTCCGACGTCCTGTCACTGTGCTCCGAGGAGATCTACTTTGCCCCGATGCCGGTGGACAACAAGGCTTCGGGGCTTGCCCCGAGAAAACAGGAACTCCTTGTCATGACAGGCCACGGAGACCGACAAGTACTGGAAGCGACGGGGGCAGAAGTGGGAGGTGAAGAAGAAGGCTTTCGGTAGAGAGGTGTAGAGCACTTCGCAGGTGTCTGCATCGAGGGGAATCCCTCTCCCGCAGCCGTTCTCAAGCTGAGCACCGCGACATTTCCGAGCCTGCGCTGCCGCCCTACCTTCTAGGCTTTGAAGGCCAGGATGACCTCGAGCCAGAGCACCTTGAAGGCCATTGTGGCAAGCTTTCCTCGGCCCAACGAAGGCTTCGTTTCGGAAGCAGAATCTAATCTGGAGCCCGCAAGTTGGGGCAGCCTGGGCCACCCCGAACTCTGCCACCGGCCCTGCGTGTACATCCTGAAAGGGAGCACGTGTTGGCAGGGTGCTTCTTGTCACTTCTGCCACCACAGCCGGCACTCTCCGATTCCGAAATTGGACCAAGAACAGAGGGCGCGTTTTCAAGCTCTGAGCGAAGAGGACAGAGTATCTTTGTTGATCCCTCACATGCGGGAGAAAGCTCTGGCTCTGGCGGCCGGGCTACCTGTCGAGGTCGAAGACTTCATCTGTGTCTTGAAGAAGTTTTCAAATGAGACTTCTCACATCGAGCCTTACGACGATCACGATCATCGCCGAAGGAGCATACCTCGCAAAGAGTTCTGCAGGCTCAAGAAGATACCTGGTCACCACTTGGGAGCATGCGCGATGTCTTTTTTTGCGTTTCTTGGCAGTGTCAGCTCTCCCCTTCCTTTCCGGCAAAACCTTGGACCCTGCACAACATGAACCTGACGGCTTTAATGAAGCTCCTGGGTCCGAATCAAGAGGTGCAGGAAAAGCATTAACTACGGTGCTCTTCTTCTCATGACAACCCAAGTCATGGTAAAGACATTCAGTCACATGGTTTCGGTTTCCGTATCATGGTCACTTCGACTACGTTCCAAAAGCAAGAGCCCAGGCTATTGCCCTCAGAGGATGAGGAGTTGGTCATAAGTTTCCAGAAGCTGCGGCTTGGCTCAGGGCCAGGGACTGAGTTGCGAAAGTCGAAGGGCGAAAGGTCAAAGGAGCTCCGAAATTCGTAGACCGAGAACTGCCTGCTGCAATGCTTCGCATGATCAGGTCGGTGAAGTTCCAACCCTGAAGGAAGTCATCTGACTGTCTTTCTTACGCTCCGTTCGGGCCCGTCTTCGGAAAAGTCATGAAACATCCCAAGTCTTGGATCTTCTGGGCGTTACAGGTAGGGTACTGAGGGTCGCCGGTCCAGCATGCTTTCAGCACGAGAAGTACCACCCGAACGCCTTAGTTCTGAGAAAGTTGAGTCAACAGACAGCGCAGTGAAATGAGGGCACGCCGTTCCCCCTGAACTGCTGGGTCTGGGTGCCGGAATTCCAAGCCAGGCTTAAATTCACGTGCGATGGCTGCGAGCTGTAACTACACCGACTTCCCTTGCCGAGCAATGCACGTCACGTCTCTATTCAAGATCATTTCGCGGAAGTGCGAAGCCGTCCAGAACCCAAAGCAGTCGGGATTTTGAGTGACCTAGCAGCGCTGTTTGTGGACTTGTTTCGGATGTGGCTGTCGGGCAGGGGAAAGCAGACTCATGCCAACGAAAGGTACCTCGTTTGGGGACTTTGTTGCCTTTCGGATGCTGATAGGGTTCTTCTCACAGTCGGCATGGCTGTAGCTTTGTCCCTGGCACCGTGCTCCGGGCCCCAAGCACCGTTACATGGGAGCTTTCACAAGGGCATCGATCTTCTTGTAGCACTGTAGCAATCATGCTGGATAGGCTTGGTCGATGCCCTATTCCAATGTGGGCCGGCAAAAAGCCGCATGGAACACTGTCATTTCGGTCGTCTGAGACGAGATATCTTCCATGGGTGGGTTGTTTTCGCGGGGATTCCTGTCGGGAGCGTGGGGAGCATCGTGGAGCGGCTCCCTTCTCCCCTCTCCGCAGGGATCCGGTAGAAGATCCTGTGGCTCCGACGCATGTTGCTGAGCAGATTCGAGGCAAAAAGGCCCCAGACTACTCTGGTCCAAATGCGGCTGCAGGGGGGATCCGTTTCGTTGCGACGGGAAATGCGAGTCCGATTGCAGGTCGACACGCTCTCGAAGAGCCTCTTGGGCAGCAGGGTATGTCCTGGTGCTGACATGTGCTGACACATTCACTTCCGGCGCTAAACTTGTCATTGCAACCGCAGGCAACAAAACGGCACGCTTCTATGCGAAGTCCATCTTTGGCATGGAACTTAGACGGGAGCACGAACCTGATGCCGGTGTGAAATTGCGAATGCTATTCGAAGCCACATGCTGAGGAGAGGACGCCGAGGGCTTGAGCTGGGACGTGCGAGGTGACAGGCGCTTGGGTTCAGGGAGTCCCAAGTGCACACAAAGGACGCCTTTTTGGAAAAACATCTCGGATTGTGGGCAGGGCCGCGGATTTCTACTCCGGCAGCTAGAGCAGCAGCCTCAGATCTGATGGTTTCGGACACGCTGACATCCTTTCGAATCAGGTGCCCTGTCCAGCTCATCCTGCCCACATCAAGCTCGGTAGAGCTGAGACACAAACCCATTTCCAATTTTCAGGCGGCCGCCGTTTTGAGAAAGATTGGCATCAAGAGCGAAGTGCCTGAGCCTCTTGTCCTCGCATTCCTGACAGCTCGAAGCCGCCGGGCCAACTGGGCTCCCACAGCTGTCAGCACAGGCCTCCTAGGCAGAGCATGTGAGCCACGGCAGCCTGGCCAAGCGTCCATGTTTCACAACTCCCCCCCCCCCCCCCCCCGTAAAAGCAGATGCGTTCATGATCATTCATGTCTTAGGCCATTTAGGCCTTCCCATAGCAGACTCTTTTGGCCACGTAACATGGGCAGTGAGGCTGGGCACCTCGAAGGTCCAAGTGCCTGTGGTGCTCTGCACTGCGCAGGCATCTCCTCAAGTCACGATCCTCTCATGGAATCTGTTGCTGGACGACCTTATCTCCAATTTCATCCCAAGGACCGATGTTTCTCAGGATGCACTCGAGTCCCCTCCCACGCTCTCTCCGCTCGCTCCCTCTTCGGGTTCTCTGTGGGAAAGGACAATGAAAGATCCACCCGACGAGCTGCTGAAAGAAATTTTTAAGGAGGCTCGAATCTTGAGCCTCGCCTTTGACTGCAATCATTGGTGCTCTTGATAGGGCGACCCAAAGAAGCAGTGGAAAGACCTGAAAGCGAGGATGAATGAGGACTTTTTCGGGACAAGTGCCAAAATGCGACATTCTGTCTGAGTCAGGAGTACAAGCCCTGGCACCAGATGAAAGACTTGATTAAAGACCCGCACGACGTTTCGCAGAAGCTTCGGGCACTTTGGAGCCAGCCGGATCTCAGAAACTTGGAGGCGCCTTTCGCAGGGCCCGGGCCGGTTTGCTTCCGAAGTCTCTTCTGACTGTGCCCGGTGTGCCCAGGGTTGGGATCTCGGCCTTCAGAAGGAGAAAGTCAGAGATGAAGTCACCCTGGAGAAGCACCTGACATGCCTGGGGGTTCTGCAGAAGGAGCTTAAAGACAAGGCCGGCTTTCTGCAAGTTAAAACACTGCCTCTCTCGGAAGCCTCACATGGGAGTTTCAGGAAATCAGGGATAAATCAGGGATCCCAGTACAGTCGAACCTACTTATTGCAACCCCAAGACAAGCTACCTTTCCGCCACCTTTCCTTGCTTTTGGTTGGGCCTGGGAGGATTTGGGGCGAAGGGTCTACGACGAGATCGCAAAGGAAAACATCCACCGGACATGGGTCGCCTGGCGAATGCCCGGTGCGGTTTCGTCGTCTCAGTTGTTGATTTGGCTAGTAAGTTGCGGCAACAAGCGTTTTCTCTCTTGCTCTAATTCGCGGCGTTTCTGCGTTGTGCCTTTGCCGTCAGTTCCTGCTTGCAGCCAGGCTAGTTGTCTTCTTTACCGCGTCAGGCTGTTTGCAATTTTGCCCGGCTTTCGGGGCATCTGAGGACAGACGGATGCCAAAGATTCTGAAAAGGATCAGGGAAGAGGCGCCGGATCTTGTGGCCTTCCAAGAGTATGAAACATGGCAGGCGTTTGAGAGACATGCTTCGTGGGATGTTCTCTATGACTGTGCACATGCGAGTGCATGCGTGGGCGGGTAAGTGGGCGGGCGGGTGAAAGGGAGTGTGAGTATGCGTGCAGTGTAAGTTTAGTGTAAGTGCATGCAGACCTACATACATGCGTATAAACCTAGATGTACGTGATGCATGGGCACAGCAAAAATGCAAGCAGACAAACAAGCATGCTCGCCCGCTTACGTACGCAGACACATGCGTGTCACATAGTGGCGAGGTTTACGTGTGGATGAGCCTGTAATATAAGGTTCTCACACACACACACACATTTGTGTGTGTGTGTGTGTCTGTGCGTGTGTGCGCACGTGTACCTTTGCAAGATACTGTACGCCTGCATGCATGTGTGCGTGTGCATGCCTGGGCGTGCAGCGTGTATGCACATACATCCATTAGTCTGTCTGTCCGTCTGTCTGCCTAGGCATGTGTGTATGCATACATATATGCACAAACAGATGTTTGTCTATTTATTTGGCATGTATTTTTACCTCTAGTTGGCTTAGGCTCGGTGATCGGCCTGGCGCCAAGGACATGCACCGGCTCAAAGTCGAGAAGAGAGAGTTCCACGAGCACATGGCTAGTGCCGGATATGAAGGCTCCAAGAGCTGCGTTGCTCTTGGGAACACGGTCTTTTTCGGAGTCTCTGAAGCCTTGCACTTTGCCGCGAGCCTAGAGTTCGGCTTGGATTTGGTGTCATCTCTGCAGGTGCACAACTCCTGTGTCCAGGCCAAGAAAGGGCAGGCATAGTGCCCTGCATGTATTAACGATAAACTGCCGAATCCGGTGCTCGAAAATCCTCCTTCAAATCCCTAGAAGTGTGCATCATCCCGACTCCTCCTTCCAATGATTTCGGGCTTTGGACCGCAGCTTAGGGCATCTTCTGGAAGAAGGAATTCTCCACTCCAGCGTTACGGCAGCAAATTGCAGACGGCGTGCTGGAAAGTGAGGCTTGGCGAGAAAAAGTCCAAAAGAATAGGGCGAAGACTAATTCCTACACTTTGGGCTCTATTCTTGCCACCTGCATTGCGCAGGATTGTCGCCATCAGACGCCATGCTCCAACTATGCAAGACAAAGATATCCTCCCTGAAACGGATAGCCGTGAATCCCATGACCATTCTGAGGGTTTGGCGCCAAGAGGGGCAGGGAGGTTCCATTCTCGAGGGGACTTTGCCGGCACAGAGAGGTCCTTTCTTGAGCGGTGAACTGTGTGCTTTATGTACGATTGGGTCGCCGGACAGCTCAAGTAATCTTCGGGTAGAACTCGGGTTCTGAACTTTACAAGGGCCTCCTCTCGAAGCCTTCTCAAGGAGCTCTGGAAGGCCTCTTTGGCCGAGCTTGCTGATGACCAGTACGCCAGCACGTACGGACCAGCCGGAACCAGAGTCGAAGTCAAGGAGCGATCGCTTGGCTTCAGGGTATTTTAATAGTGCTTTCGGTGCTGGTGTAGGGGTCTGCGATCAGGTCAGGCGGTGGTTTCGAGGCTTTGCATTTGAGCTTGGCACCTCCCGGACCAAGGAAGTACTTGAATTGTCGTTGCCTGTCCGGTGCCTGACTCCAAGCCCTAGTCGAGGCATGCACAATTTGCAACAGAGAACCGCCTTCGAATCGAGCCGTGCGCAAAGCCTCAAAGCCTAACAAGAAGCAAGCTGGGGACGACAAAGAAGGATTCAAGCTTTCGGTCCGTTTTGTGTGTTTTGTGTAAGCCTCCCTGCGAGCAGGAGTGTCGAGACGGCATGATGCAGGTGACCGTCTTGCACAGCGACAAGGATGCTTCGATTCCCCAACACCATCTGAAGGCACCGGGGACCCTGTTCTTGTCAGTGGCGCTTGTGTTTGCTGATGAGCCAGGAACGGCGAGTAAGACTGCCTAAAGTGTGAGATTCGCCTGGGGGTTCGCTTGGAAAACGTGTCGTTTGCTCGCCCGTATCAACTGGCCCAACCACGGCAAGATGCACAGGACGTTGCTAGCACGCCAAGACCAGATCTGCTTGAGTTTCGCAGCAAAGCACCACGAACTTCACAAGAAGGAATACGACATTCACTTGGCATGCTTGCGGTTAAAAGGGATTGTGCTTCGACGCTGCCCGTGCGCAGTTGCATAAAGCTTTAAAGCCCCCAAACCGTAAAACCCTGTATCAGCCATGTTGAAGCCTTTGAAGTCAGAGGAGAAAAACCAGAAGGAATTGCAGGACAAGCTGATTGGCAACCTGGACTTGCAGGAGAGTTGATTCGTGTTCAGGGATTCAGGGTTCAAGGGTTTAGGAGTTTAGAGATTTGTTTTGGTCCCATCCCACGCCTTGCAGGAGAGGGGAGAGGACGGAGAGCTCATGAAGACCATGGACCGCCGAAGCTTGGGCTTCGCGCGGCTGCAGATCCGAGGGACCGGGCAGCCCAAAGAAGGAATTCTAAGCTTCCAAGATTATGAAAGGCTTCTGGTTCGAGGAGTTTTGATCCTTTCAGTGCCCGTCCTCCTCCTGTCTTCGAAATTCCGCTTCCAGGCAGCCCGTGCTCTTCTGCACGACTCATCTGATGACCGCCAGTCGAGATCTTCACGGCCGAGTCCGAACTGCCGCTCTGTCGATTTAATTCCGGAAGGCCACAGTTCTTCATTCCCTGTTTTCCTGCTTGTCCTGTTGCTGTTGAAGGTGTGGAATGTTAACGCTACGCCGCCTCGGCTCGTGGGATTCAGCAGTCTAGTTCTTCTGGCGGTGGTTTCGGTCATCCTCTGGAGCGGGGTTTGGGGGGACGCGGGGGCGGGAGCGACTGCGAACTTTGCACACAAGGCTTGACTGAACCGGACCGGGAAGATGATAAGTTATGCCAGTGGCCAGCAGCCACGCTGCAAAGAAAGCTCGGCTGCACCGAGCAAGGGGAAGAAGGGGGGTGGAAAAGGGCGGAGGGGGTTTGGGGGAGAGCCGCACGAACGGGAGGATTAGGTGGAGAGCACCTTGGGCCTGTGTCCTCTGCGGATTTCACATAAAAAAAACAGCAGGGTTGCATGTCTGCTCTACAAATTGGAGGCATCGGGTTGCATGTGTGGCCATACTTTACTACGGGCGATTGCTCGTTCCCTCTCGCTGGGACAAACTGTCCGTGGAAAGAATAAGATTCTTCCCTGGGTTCTTCGCCGTAAGAAGTTGCAAAGACTTGCGAAAGCATAGTGAAAGTGCCGCGGGAGGGAGACGGACGTTCGGGATTTCTAGACAAATTCTGGACGTGGAAGTGCAATGGCAGATTTGGCTGCTAGACTCAGGTTTTCTGACATTGCTGCAAAGCCTTTGATCGCCTCAAAAACGAGACATGACCAAATACTTCTACAAAGATCATGCGCACATCGTCGATAAGGATATTGACAT